GGGGGGAGGGTCCTCCTATTTTTTAAAATCTTTTTTGAACCAGACGTCCTGATCAGCCAAAAACAGACCCAATCCACGGCATTGACAGAAAATAAAGGTCATCTCTTGATATTCACAGTAGAAAAAATATACAAACAAAAAACGAGGAGACGCGGGGTGATTAACAGAAGAAGAAGAAGAAGAGAAGCACTTCCTGTCAGCTTTAGTCTGGATGTGATTTTTTTTTAAAGCACATAAAAGGAGGCTCCACGGCTGCATAAAGGTGATCGCAGATATGCATGTAGAGCTTTTAAACTCATGCTAACATCAACCGGTAGAGCCGCTACTACATGCAGTCCAGAGTGTGCGTATGGAAAACACACACGATAAAACTACACTTGTTCTTCCTGTACCCAAAGAAAGCTTCATTTGAGTCAATTTATCAAATGTAGAAAAGGATAACTGTCCATTAAGATAATTTACCGCCTGATCTTCCACATTTAAGGGTGTGGAACAAACAGGGAAGTGTATCCTTAAACTCTAAAATCAAGATGTTTAGAAGCCTCCCCCAGGACACAAGAGGAAGAGGAAACATGAGGGGTTTAAAAACACCAAAGGAATTGATCAGCAGTGTTGGTAATGTACGATAAAATGATATCATTGGACACAGAGAGACTGACGGGGATGATTTAGGCTCTTTAGACTGATTCCTCCATATGCACTGAGGTAGACTCTGGCCAAACACAAAGACGACGACAATCACTAACTATTTAACTAGCACTGCTCTCCAATCGGCTACTCCACCTGTACAATAACAAACTAGGCTTTTCATTTTTTTTTTTACATCGCTTCCACTCTCAAAAAACACCTTAAAAATGCTCCACTAAAAAGCTAACTGTGTTCTTCTTATACAATGACAATAATAAAATAAATATCTGGTATTTCAAAGATATGGGCATCATCTTAATTAAAAATTGCATATGCGTTGTGAAGACACAAGATAAGCAACGTAGGTCGAAGGTGGAGCTGTGTCTAAAGTCCAAACTGCTTCTCGCTGTAGTGTATACAAACATGTACTTTTGGGAGTACTTTTAAGATATTAGTACACAGTTGTGGAGTTGCGACACAGCTAAAGCTCCACTGTTTTTCTCTCAAAACTGACGGGCTTCAGATTATTTTTTTCTGCTTTTATTTTCCAAACTATGTCACAGATTATTTACAAAGTACAAAAGCCCACGATTGTAACTCCTCAGAATAATAAGCTAACATCCTAACCTCAGGCCGATCCACAGTGTCACCGCTAACGCACGAGCTCACACCTTACCCGGCAACAAGCGGAAAACACCGAATTAAAATGTTAATAAAAAAAGCCCCGAAGACTTCTACTTTCTTCCAGCTAAGAACAAATTCCTACAAATGTAGATGCAGCTTTGATTCTCCATGCCTCTCGAAATGCAGAGAGAGCACAGAGTGTGTGTGTGTGTGTGTGAGTGTGTGTGTGTGTGTGTGTTACTAGCCGATAGAACTAGCCTGGACGTGGCTCTGGGTTTTGAGAAGGCACTGGTAAAAACATGGAGGCAGCTTCTCTGCTTTCTCTGATTCTGACTTTGGCTGAACTGTAAGAGCTGAGTGGGATCGGCTTAGAATGGCAAGCACATTTTCTGTGTGTCAGGAAGTATCACCTCACCCGTCATGTGGTTAGAGAGCGTGAAAAGAGCCTTTAAAAGAGTGAATTATGATGTAAAGAGTGTAGTGTACGATCAACAGGAATGTTTTAGATTCCCGGCAGGAGGAACAAACTTGAGATACTCCAATAATAACAATTAAGTGTCTTTTGTGTGTTTTCTGGACTTCAGTTCCAACTAAATCCTGGAATGTCAGACCTGAGTGAAGCAGCTGCTGCACACCAGGTCTTGACTGCATGTGATAGCAGAGCGAATGAGAGGATTAACACTCGCTCACACACTCTTTATCCTTCAGAAACAAAGATAGCCCCTCGCTCCGACACCTGCGTCGGAAATCTAGTTGGAATTTTCCGCTTTCGGCAACGAAAAAAACGTGGAATTTCCCAACAACTGGCTGATTCTGAGCAGTGAGTTCAGCGACTTTCAGGAAGACTGAGGAGTGTGGGAAGTTAAGCTGTGAATTCATGAAATCTTCCAATTAACACTGAGGTCCTGACATGGAACGGTGATGCTACTTTTCCCGATTGTATAAGAAATGTGTTTGCACCTGCATTTCGCTAAGAGATGATTTTAAGGGAGGGTAGGGCTGCACAATTACTCAAAATTGCAATATGGACTGGTGTTATATCCAAATGGCAAAAAACGTAGTATTTAGTAAGGGCTAAATTAAAGAAAATATCTGGATAAAGTATTATGATGATGCAGAGAACTCCTGGTATTTAACAGATTTGATTAAAATCTTTTTAAGGTACAGTCAGGGCAAAGTTATATGATGAGACCGTGCCGCGCCACACTAATTGCGCCACATAAGCGCACCGCATTTTTGGCTCAGTTGAGGCCCCCTCCGCAAGGTGAGGCCCCACGCAGTCTGCATGATCGGCCTGTAGGGAGGGACGGCCCTGGGTACAGTTCCTCTTAATAGAAATATTTTATTTAGTTATTCTTTGCAAATTGTGCAGTCCTAAAGGGGACACATGCTCGTTTTCAGTAAAGACGTTTCCACGCCCCTAAAACGCACAACTTTATGTCTTAATATAGTTAAATTGGGTGAGTAATATAGAAATGATCTCCCTTACAGTTGTCATGAATAGGGGAATTAGCTCTAGAGACTGAAACCGCTTTTTTGTACCAAACTGTGAACGTGTTATTACTGCTGTAAAGTTGGGCATGTTTTCATGGAGATTTTAGACTCACTTTTTGAGCCTCTAGTGGCTGCATGATGAACTGCAGGTTTCTTAGGCTTCACTGCTCTACAGAGGAGGTTGCATCCATCAAAAAACTGTGTCGGTGTTGTCTTATCTTACAGATTGTGGGTTGGTAAGCAATCCATATTTCCATTAGTTTGAGCGTAAGCACAGACAAAAGTGAGTTTTTCATGATATAAACCCTTTAATTTTGCACCCTGCCCTGATCCAAGCAGCACGACCGTCCCAACACCAGGAAGAAAATCAGGCAAAGGATCTCTACGCTCTCTAACCTCAGCGACTCAACAACCAGCACCAAAATGTTATAAAATAATAATCCTGTAAAGACCTCAGCTCCAGCGGGACGTGAGCAGACAAACACATCAGGTGCACTTCCACCTACAAGACCTCATTCCCCTTTTTAAAGCTTTTTTTTGGTTATTTACGTCCGTTTTTTCCCGTTGTTGCCTCCAAATATTGACAGCTCTCAGCGGGAGCAGGGTTTATAAAAGATGATGCAGTGAGTTGACAATATTTCGGGGCTTATATCCTTTCCCATCCACACGGAGAAACACGGTTGGGCCTAAGACGCACTGATGGTAGATTAGTGTGATTTCAGGGGCTATAAAAATAAGAAAAAATGTAAAAACCCAGAAAGAAAACCTGGCAAAACAAATACTAGCAAAGCTTCTTGATGAAAAATATTACAAATATGAACTATTTACAAAAGAAAACATCAATAGGTCATATATTATATATGAAATATTGGTATGTCAACACCAATATTCCATATATATATATATTATATATATTTCTATATTTCTATATCCACTCAAATATATCAAAGCAGCGGCTATTGGTCAGTCTGAGGAACTCTTTTGTCCAATTCTTAACTGTTTAAATATCCTTCAGCCATATAGTGAGGACACAGAAATAAAAACTGAGGAAGAGAAGAGGAAAAATAAATTAATTCACCAAAACACCCGATGAATCTGTGTGACGTTAGGAATTCTGCAGAACCAAAAGAAAAGAAAAACATTCCTCTAGGAATAATAATAATAAAGTTTGTTCTAGGATCAAGTCTTTGAAAAGTCCTCCCACCGTGATTAAGTCATTGTTCAAACAGGAAAATGAGTTGATAGACACTTTGTTTGTAGGCCACGTACAAAAAGGCCACTATCTGAGTTTCACTTGAAGAGATAGAAAAAGCACAGAGATGTGGAAATGCTGATTGGTGGAGGAGGAGGAGGAGGAGGCGGGACGAGTGTAAGCAGCCTTCTTGGTTGTCTAAGGTTTGTCGTGTTCACAGTTTTAGTTTTCTATCTGTTTCCGTCACGAGGAGTCCTGGAAACGTGGCAATAGTGAAAAACAATATATAGAAAGTCTGATGTGTTGTTAGAGGAAGTTTGTAAAAAAAAAAAGCATCCGTTCGCCTGCCTGTGTGGGAGGCGAGGGAGAAAATAAAAAGTCCTGAGATCTGTTTTTTAGTTGAAGGGCTTCTCCAAGAAGTAGAAAATGATACAGAAACGATGGACAGCACTGAAGAAACTGAACCGTTGACTTTCATTAAATGTATTACATCAATGAATTCCACATTACTGTATTAGGTTAGTGGAAAGCAATAGTATTAATGAACCTAATATTGAAACTTAAAGGTCACCTATTATGCAAAATCCACTTGTTCCATGTCTCTTCTACATCAACATGTGTCCCCTCTTCTTCATGTCTCTTCTACATCACCATGTGTCCCCTCTGTGTAAAGAGAGTCTGAAAGTTTCAGGAACAAAGATTCTCTCACTTTTTGTCCTGATCCATTTCTATAAAAACCTGTCTGAAAATGAGCTGATCAGATTTTGGCCACTTTATGATGTCATAACGTTTTTTTTTGGCTTGTGTAACCATTACCACCAACCAAGGTAACCCCCCCCCCCACCTTATCACCTGAATCTCCTCCTAGAGCACCATTGTGTTATTTGTAACCAAATCTCTCTCAGAGGGGCGTGGGGAGGGGCTCCTTATTTTCATCTGAAGTAACAGACAGAGAATCAGCACTTTTGAAACAGGGCTGAAACAGAGGGGATTATGGGTAATGCTGCAATGATCTGTTTGGTGTTTCAGCCAATCAGAGACAGGCTCTGTATATATCTGAGACCTGTGATATATTGATGAAAAACAGTATAATAGGGGACCTTTAATATTATTGCTTTCATAATACAGTGGTGTGAAATCTGTTGACATAATACGTTTAATTTAACTCAACGGTTCAGTTTGTTTTGTTTCCAGTGTGAAAGAGAAAGGGAGGTTAAACAGTTTTTTATGGAAACAGGAAATGTTAGGAAGGGCTGGATCTGGGCAGCGATAAGATTCGTCCGTTTTTCTTGCCCCCGTTCATGTGTGTGTAGGGGACGTGCTCCTCATAGTTCCCCCTGAGGGCCACCGAGGGCCCCGAGTCCCTGCTCAAGTCCTCTCTCTGGGAGTAGGAGCAGGGGTCCAGGGGGATGCTCTCCATGTTGTCCAGGTCCAGGTCGTAATCCTCGGCCTCCGGGACTTTGTTCTCCTCGCTGTAGAAGAAGGAGAGATCGTGGAAGGACGGGTGCAGCTCCTCCCGCAGCATCTCGATGATGTCCTGGAACAGAGGGCGCATCTTCGGGTTGTACTGCCAGCACATCTGCATCAAGCTGTGCCTGGAGGGGGAGGAGGGAGAGACACGAGGTTTAACCCTGCGAGACGCGACAGGGGAAACTTGGACAATATTAGAACATGTCTTCTCTCTGATTGGTCAAAATAAAACCTTCAAAACTCCTAATTTACGTGTTTATTTGACTGAATTTGTCTTTTTGTGTCTGTAAATGGTTCTTGAATTCAACAAAAACTTGGACAATATTTGTTATTACATTTTATTCCATTCTATTTCTATCTAATGGCGCGTTTCCACTACAGCCCGCAGCCCGGTTTAAGAGGGCTGTGACGTCAGCGGCCTGTCTTTGGTTGCGTTTCCACTTGGCCTAGTACCGGCCGGCGGGTCCTAATTCACAGTTTTGTTTCTGGCCTCATAAAATCGTGAGGCCAGGGCCAGAGACAACGAGGCTGAGTCGGGCTGAGTATGCTAAACTAGAGAGAGCGTCGCTGGCAAGGGGGCTACAACTACAACAAGATGGACATATTTGACCGTGATTTAATTGTAATACACGTTTCAAAATGATGCCGAAGTAACAACATACTGATACCGGTTAGTAAAAACCATGAATTAATGCTTTGTCAAGTCTGCAGACAGACGGCAGGGGAAAAACCTTTTAAAATGCTTGTTTTCTAAATGGAGATTGGCTAAGCTAACGCAGTATATGCCCCGACCGTCCACACTCACAACAACGGCCTATACAGACATAAATAAAGCAGCGACTGTATTCACCATGACACAGGCAGTCTGTGGTGTGTACTTGTTTAACTTTTGTCTAGTTTCTGAACAGATATGAGGAGCTGTGAGCTCTGAGTGCTAACAGCTAACGGCTGTGTTGTTTTTCTGGGGTCCTCTGAAGATCACGTCACGGCTCCGCCTACACTGCGTTACTATAGATACTGCCCCAGTTCCTAAACTGTAATGGAAATGCGCCATAAAGTGAGCCAGTCCTAACGAGGCCCAGCCATACCGAGCGGGGCCAAGCGAGGCTGTGTAGTGGAAACATTATACTGCTATATTTTACTATATTTTGTATTACTTTTAATATTTTTTAATGTTATTATTATAGTTTTCTGTGTTTTGAATTTTTGTTTTATTTTTATGTATGCACCATGACATCAAGTCAAATTCCTCGTACGCGTCAACCTACCTGTTAATAAACCTGATTCTGATTCTTCTGATATGATAACATGTCTTCTTTCTGATTGGTGGAAATAAGACCTTCAAAACTCCCCATTTACGTGTTTATTTGACTGAATATGTCTATTTGTGTCTGTAAATGGTTCTTGAATTCAACAAAAGTTAGCATTAGATAATGCTCCATTTCCATATTCAATCATAATATTTAGAAAACTTGTAATAGAAAAAATGATTGTCTTAATATAAGTAATAAACAGGGGAAGTTTCATAGTTAGATTTGTTAGTTTATTCTGTTTTGAATAACATGTTATTCCCCAAAACATGTGAAACATTATTATTTCCTGATTCATGGAGTTTTACAAAGAGATATCCAAACTCCCTCTGCAGAAACCGTTGACTCTAATATGTCTACAAAATGAAACTTTGATCCTGGCTTGATCCAATGTTCACAAGCCTCTCTCAG